TTTTAAACTTATTTTGAGTAATAGAAAATCCAGAGACTGATCATTAGAATTTGTTTAAGCTGAACTCAGTTCTTTAGTTTAGTTTAGTTATTTTGCCATATTGGATTTTTATGTCCTTTTACTTCTTTTTTGTTGTTATTTGTAAATTTGGTAAATGGGATACTGAAAAAGTCAATCGTATATATAATTTTCTTGAGTTTCTCTGGTAATGTAAATACAGTATAAGTCACTTAACTTTGTTAAACATACTATAGGAAATACTTTGTTAATTATTTCTACCATCATTTAATTTCCTGCTTTAGTATCATAATTTTCAAGTCCTTGATTATACTCAAAATATTGAAATAAAAGAATTTTCTATTTCTAAAAATGCTTTTGATTTTATAACTGTATTTTGTAGTGTAAAATTTAATTGGGGGTAGTGGTGGTATATCTTTGGGGATGCCTTTCTTCAGTGCTCAGTTTAGTTTTTTTGATGTATATTATCTAAAGAAGCATTCAGGGGCAGCTGGGTGGTGCAGTAGATAGAGCACCGGCCCTGAAGTCAGGAGGACCTGAGTTCAAATTTGGCCTCAGACCAAACACTTGACACTTATTAGCTATGTGACCCTGGGCAAGTCACTTAACCCCAAATGTCTAAAAAAAAAAGCATTTAAATGAGAACTATATTACAATCACTGACCTAATTTGACTAATATTTTGAGTAAGTGCTTTCTGTTTAAAGTACATAAAATCATTACAATAATAGAAGGAAATAACAAGTATGTATTACTTAAAGTTTTTAAAATCAGCGTATTTGATTTCCTACATTCACATGGGTGAAGCAATAAAATTAAACAATAACTAGATTTATTTTCATTATGTTAGTATGTTTGTTTTCTGTGCAGATTGAAAACTCAAGGGCTCCTTTCCCCATTAATAATCCTTTAATAAAGTTAACCTATTGTAAATGCTAATTTCTTACTGATAGTTGAACAAAGTTGAGTTGGGCGAAGACAACTATGCTCTCTAGGCAAAGTTTGAAAATTGTGTTGTGGCTGTGTTATCCACTGAAAACTATAACATAACATAGACTATAACATAACATAGACAACATAGTCAACAAAGAAATACCTCTTTGTCATAGTGGAATTTTTGTAACCTTTAAAAATATGTATATTTACAAAAAATAATAATGTATCCGTTATTAACCATCTCTCCCTTCATCCCACAAATTGTGCTCTAAGTGACTGATCAAGTTGCTTACTCCTAATTTTGGCTGTGTGACAAATTATACCATCAAATAAGTTTTGTTGATATATACCAGAAGAACAGCTGCCAAATTGAAGCACCATTTAATTTATAATTTGAAAGCTTGGTGTGCAGATAACTAGGGAACTCTTGAACTGTAATGATGTTTATGGGACAGTTGATAGAATATGAACTTAGACTCACAAAGTCTATGTTAACTCCCACCTGACACTAGTGAGTGACCATTAAATACATCACTGAACCTTTTTCAGCTTTAGTTTCCTTATCTCTAAAATGAGGATAATAATACAGTACTTTCCTTACAAGCTCGTTGTGAAGCTTAAGTAAAAATAATAATATATATAAAGTGTTTTACAAACCTTAAAGCACTAAAGGTCAGTTATTATGGTACATATATTTTCTCCTTTTTTTTAGGCAATTGGGGTTAAGTGACTTGCCCAGGGTCACACAGCTAGTAAGTGTCAAGTGTCTGAGGCTGAATTTGAACTCAGGTCCTCCTGACTTCAGGACTGGTGCTTTATCCACTGCATCACCTAGCTGCCCCTATTTTCTCCTTTCTTCAAAAAAATTTTTAAATTTTTTTGCTTTTATGTCACTTTTATTTCTCAATAGGTGCTTTTCCCACTCTCAACCAGTAAGCCATCCGTTGTCACAAAGCATAAAAAAGGAATAGAAAATAAATAGTTCAACAAAACTAAACAGTCCATTAACCAAGTATGACAATTTACACATCAAATTTACAAACAATGTTACATATCCGTAGTTCTCCCTTCTTCTAATGAAGGAAGGGAGGTGAATTTTCTTATTTCTTTTTTGAGAAGGAGCTTGGTAATTTTTACATAAGAAATTTTATCTTTGATCTCCTTGGAATATATGCCTAGTGTTGACATCTTAGTCACTTCATGTTAGCATAATCTTAAATTACTTTTCAGAAAAATGCTATCTCCTTCCAGAGAGAGAATTGATGAACTCTGAGTACAGATTGAAGCATACTTTATTCACTTACTTTATTTTTCTGAACATGGCTAATTTGGAAATGTTTTGCATGACTTCACTAGTATAATTAATATATTGTTTGCCTTCTCAGTGAGTAGACGAGGTGCTGGAAAAAGGGAGAGAATTGGGAACTCAAAATTTAAAAAAAATGAATCCTAAAATAAAGTATAATTCTTTTTAAAAAAATTACTTTTCAGAATGGTGGTACTAATTCACATCTCCAACAATATATTTAGTGTGCTTTCAGCAATTATGAGACAGACCCAATATTGTCTTTCCACAGCCATTTCAATGTTGTTTGTTTCTATGCTTTTTCATCTTTGTCAACTTGCTGATGTGAGGTGAAACCTCTGAGTTCTTTTTACATTTTTCTCATTAGTTATTTGGAGCAGTCTTTTACATTGCTGTTAATAATTTGCCATTCTTCTTTTGAGAACTGTTGTTATTCTTTGACCATTATTTCTCTTGGTCTTACACGTTTGTGTTAGATCTTTGTATTTTTTGGATATCAGACCCCATCAGATATTTGATATAAAGATTTTTTTTCTTAATTGACAGTTCCCCTTTTTTATATCATTGCATTGATTTTGATTTTTCAAAAGCTCTTTAATGTTATAATTCATACAACACATTTTCGTGAGTTCACTTTCAACTCTGACTGAAATATTGTATAATAGTTACTTCTAGAGTTTTTTAAATGTATTGTTTTTGTGGATATTATAGAAAATGTATTAAATCTCATTTTTGTTTAAATTCAACTTTTATATATTAAATCTGTGATTTTGTTTGGAATAAGTGAGATCTTTTAGTTGATTTTTCAAGGTACATCAGTCATGACAATAGTTAATGTTTACAGACAATTAAAAAATTGTGTGATTGTTAGTTCTATCTTTCTCTGTTTCTACCACTTTACCCTAGTTACTGTAGAAATGGAAGGGAGTCACATGGTACTGAGTGTCATTTTGTGTTTTTGTTTCATGGGTTGCTATTATCAAATAATTCATTATTGAGTTGCCAGTCTACGAGTAATGAGCCTTTTTCTACTTAGCTAGTTTGTTCTCAGAAAGAAGATGCATTTTGTCACTGATAGAACTGCTCCAGGGTTTATGTTCCACTAATACAGCCTTGAACTATCTGGAATTACCTCAATACCATCATGGGGCAACATTTTTGTACACCTTACTTGGTATATGTTCTCTTTACATTTATTCTGTATATGCACTGTGTATGTGTGATTAATCTCCCTGTTATTTCCCTCTTGCTTAGAATGTAAGCTCTATGTAAATAAGGATTGTTTCATTCATTATCTTTGTATCCCCAGTGCCTTGCACAGTGCCTGGCACATGGTAGGAGCTTACTAAATACTTATGGATTGATTTATTCTGTTCTTGATATTGTCCTTATTGAAGTTCTGTCACCAGTAGCAGATACCTGATTTCTTGGCTTCCTGTCAGTGTTGTAAAGAGTTTCTCTAAACTAAATGACATCATTGATGCTAGTTTGGCTGATGCTCTGTTGGACTCATTTCAAGAATTTCCAAGTATCTGAATCTAACCAGAGTCATCTTCTGGTGCTGTTATATGCCAGCAAATCTTAAAGTACAATAATCTTCAAGGATTCAAGTTGCCTTTCACCCAGAGAACAATTGAAAGACTCATTGGACATAAATAGGTTATGAGTATTAAAAATGATGAATTACATGTATTAAATGGCATAAAACATATAATCAAAGAACTATATGACTAGAAAAGGATGTGAGCCGATTATGTAAAGAGAATGAAGAATAATGGATGGCTAATCTTCTTGCTGCGTTGGTACCAATGTAATGTCAAGAGGTCAAGAATAATGCCCCTGGCATGTTGGGTAAAAATCCTACAAAAGCCTGTGAATTCATGGGGCCAACTGGAACAATGTACCATTGGTGGGATGTATAACTTTTTGATATCAGTGAAATCATCTGTTGAGGTACTGAAGTATATCAGTCATGCACCAGTATTTCTGAGCTAAATATAATCTTGAGTTATAGAATTAACGTAACTGGTTATTAATAAGTTGTAGCAGTGTTGCATGAAATTAGCAACATAAATAGTCATTATTTTAAATTATTATTTTATTTAAAGTAGGCCTTAGAATAAGGAAGACATGGGTTGAAGTATTCCCCTGGCAAGGATACTGACTGTGAGACTGGGCAAGTCACTTAGCCTCATAGTGCCTAGGCCATCTCTAAGACTAGAAGTTGTAGAGTATGTTGATCTGAATTGGTATCAGGAGTTTCCTATTTTTTTTTTCTTAGAGTCTTCTGTGTATTTATTGTTTTACAGCAGAATGCCCAACACAGATCATCATAACTGCCAAATAGTCAGCTGTGCAGAATAGTATATATAGTGCTTAAGTACAAATGAGAGACATAATTTTTTTAAATAAATACTTAAACACAAATTTATGGTCCTACAAAAGAGTATTTTAACTAGATGGTCTAAGTTGATCTGCCTCCTTGGACCCACAGTAACAGTTTTTTCCCAAAAAACCAATAGAATCAATATATGGAATCATCATCAGTTCCACTGTGTGAATAATGGGTCACAATAAATGAGTCCCTTTTTCTAAGAGCGTTTCCTGGCTCCCCTACAACCATGATCTGGCCTGGATAAAAAGACAACAGGAATTTCTTGAAGGTCAGTAGTCCAAAATGCTAAGTATGGTTAAGTATTCTACATGATCTATAGTCACTGGTTCTTTTAGTTAGGATGTACTTAGATTATTTTCTTCAATTCATCGTACAGGACAAGCATGAAAGCTCCACCCATGCCTCTAAGAACATTGGACCAGGCACCCTTGAAGAAAGCTTTGCCACCCTCATCTTTAGCAGTCTTTCTCCAGCAGTCATTTGTCCCAGTGTCCATGATATCAGCTCCTTTGCGTCCAGACTGCATCATCATTCGCCGCCTTACTGTATCAAAGGGATGGGAGACCACACCTGCTACAGCAGTCACTGTTTGGGCAATCATCCAACTTATCACAATATAAGTGTTCTTGGGATCTGGGAGCATACCTTTTGCTGTGTCATAGATTCCAAAGTAAGCTGCTCTGTAGATAATGATACCCTGCACTGAGACATTGAAACCTTGATACAAGCCACGAATTCCATCAGACTTGGTGATTTTCACCAGGCAGTCTCCCAGGCCTTTGAATTCTCTCTCAGTGCCAGATTTCCCAACATCGGCTGCCAACCGGGTTCTCACAAAATCCAAGGGGTAGACAAAGAAGAGAGAAGTGGCTGCAGCTGCACCACCAGAGGCAAGATTGCCAGCAAAATACCTCCAAAACTGTGTGTGCTTGTCCACTCCTCCCAAAAACACCTGCTTATACTTATCCTTAAAGGCAAAGTTAAGGGCCTGAGTGGGGAAATATCTGATGACATTTGCTAAGTTACCCCACCAGAAGGAAAGGACCCCTTGTTCCTTTGGAATTCGGACTATACAATCCATTATGCCTTTGTACTGCTTATCTGCAGCAATTTGTTTACTTGCATGCAGCACCTGCAATAATAGCTTCACTCTCTCAATGGGGGCCACCACAGTCTTGGAGATGGCAGCGGCGATGCCACCGGCCAGGAAGTCCTTGGAGAAGGAGATGGCCTGTTCCGTCATGGTTACGAGAGGGAGAAGGTGTTGGAGTTGGAGAAGGAAAGCCAGAGAGAGAGGGCCGAAAGCTGGGAAACTCGCTGCTGCCTGCACAGCCACTTGTTGCAGCTCAGAACGAAAGGCAGGAGTTTCCTTACTGACAGTTCACTACCAGTGAAATTCATTCATTGACTCAAAAAACTCATTAAATGAATGAATTTGTAATTTTTTCAGAAAAAATAAATTTTGTTTTTGAACTTTTTCTTTCATTTTAGCATGACACTTGTAAAATGTAAATGTGGACTAATATTCAGAGCAACTACCTGTTCTAAATTTAATGATCAAGGACTGTTTAAAGTACTTGATAAAAATAAAATAGATTGAAGAACAAAATTAGTGACTAAGTCTTCACAGATTGCTCTTAAACAAATCAAGAGGCTGTACTGGTTTTTAATTATTGTGTACAGTTCTTTGCTAAAAGAAGCTCTCTTATAGAACCCTGGGAAGGATTTGAAGGACTTTGAAAATTAGGGAAATATATTAATGAAAGTTTAAGTACTGCAGGCATTTATACTGCTCATTTGTGCCATTCTCCTAAAAATAAAAATAAAAAAAATACATATACTTATTTGTTACATAAAAACAAAGCTAAAGATAGAAGATACTACTGTAGAAGGAAGACATAAATATGTAAAGAATTAATTCTCAATGGAAATGTTTGGAAGATTTTTTTAAAAACATTTATTTATTTATTTATTTATTCATTCATTCATTTATTTATTTATTTGCAACACTTACACTTCTCACTGTATTCTTCTTCTTGCTCCCTTCCAGAGAGCCATCCCTTATAATAAAGTTTCAAGAAGGGAAGAAAGAAAATAAAGAATTCTTCCAAACTAGACTACATATTAAAAAAGTCTGATGTTATATTCAGAATCTCTCACTTGTGGTCTCCTGCTTCCATAAAGGAGTGGGAAGTAGTAGCTTCTCTGTGGTGAGTCTTAGCCTAGTCATCATAATTCTGCAGCATTCAGTTTCAATTCTTTCCATTTGCATTGTCATATTCATTATTTACATGGTTTTCCTGCTTCTACTTATTTCACTTTGTATCAGTTTAAATAAGTCTTTTCATACTTAGCCATATTTAACATGCTTATTATTTCTAATAAGATAGTAATATTGCATTATATTCTTGTACTACATTGTTGAGCAATTCCCAGTTGATGAATTTCCACTTTGTTTCCAGTTCTTTGCTACCACAAGAAGTGCTGCTGTATTTTGGAGTATATGGGGCTTTTGGGAGGCAATTTTTCAAAGGCTTATTTCAATAATAAATCATCATCATCATCATCTATTCATTCATTCTGCATGTGTTGATTTCCTAATGCCTTTCAGGGTTAGTAATTGTGCATAAGGGGCTGCTAGGTGATGCAGTAGATGGAGTGTTGGGCCTGGAGTTAGGAAGAGTCATCTTAGGATCAAATCTGGCCTCAGACAGTTACTAACTGTGTAACCTTGGGCAAGTCACTTAACCCTGTTTGCCTCAGTTTCTTCATCTGGAGAATGAGCTGGAGAAGGAAATGGCAAACCACTCAATATCTTTGCTAAGAAAACCCCAAATGGGGTCACGGAGAATTGAACGTGACTGAAAGGACTGAACCAACAACAACATTGTGCATAATCCAAAATTCCATGAGACAGGGTTCCTGATGTCAAGTGGCTTACAGTCAAATAGGGGAGATAAGACTGTACACAAAGTACTTTTAAAACTACTACTGATTGTCATAGCAGAATAAATCTAAGTGTGATTTATAAAGAGCAAATAAGGTAGGGTTAATTCTGATTGAAGTGATCAGGAAGGGAATCCTAATAAAGATGAATTTTGATTAAAAACATTTTTTTTCAACTTCCAAACAAAATGAGTTTTTCCATATACATGACAGAACAGAAAAAGAGGATTAGAGGTGAAATTTGAAAGAAGCTACGTTTCTTTGTTTCTTTAAGGAGATTCCATTTTGTTTTAATGTTACTTCAGTTATCTTGAATAGATAATTTATCATGTAATCAATGGAGGGTAGAATTGTATCTTAATAAATGGGACTTCATATATTATAAGAATACACTGGATATTAAAATTTTGAATTATTTGAGACATGATAATATAAAAATTCATAATAGTTTTTATATTTTTTATGAAAGAAAATTTAGATATGTCAAACTGCTTAGCATATTCTTTTGAAAAACCAAGAAAACCTCTTTTCTAATGAATAGCACTGTTATTAATATGTAAAACTTTCTCATGAATTCTGATTATATTATGGAACTATGAAATCCTAGCTATTTAAAAACTTTTAGCATCAAAGATTGAGGCCAATGAAAATAATTTAAATTTTTCCACCATCTAGCTGTTGAAGCAAAAACATGCTTTAGTGTTTGCAAATGAAAGACTGTAGAAAAGGTATTTATGTGGTTTTTAGTTTATTGTGAATAGTCTGAGATCTTATTTTTCATTTTGAATATTTATGTGCATATAAATACTAGAAGTTGGTTAGAAGCAAAAGATCTCACCATAAGGATTGGATAGAGTAGGTCAGTCAAGCCTAAGAGGAGAGACTATACTGGAGAAGAAGGTTTTCAAGTGTTAAATGCAGTTGGGAAGTTGAGAAGGATGAGCATTTACATTGGTGTCTCTGCGGAGCAGTTTCACCTGGGGGGTTGAAAGCCAAACTGCAATGAGTTGAAAAATGAGAGAAAAGGAAGTGGAGGCAATAAGGGTAGACAGATTTTATTTTAGGAGTATCTGAAAGGGAGGAGAGAGGTTGGAGGATAGCTTAAGGGGAGGAGGGATGGTAGTGTTAAGTGAGGATTTTTTTAAGGGTGGGTGAAACTAGAGTAGGCAGGTGGTGAAGTGGATAGAGCCCTGGACCTGGAATCAGAAAGACTTGAGTTCAGATATGGCCTCAGATACTTACTATCTGTGTGACCTTATGCAGGTCACTTAATCTCCATTTGCCTCATTGTCTTTAGCTATAAAATGGGATTACAATAGTACCTACTTTCCAAAGTTGTAGTGTTTGTGAAATTTGTAAAATAGTATACTGCCTGGCATGTTGTATATGTAAATGCTAACTATTTTTAAATATTTATTTTTTTCAGGCATGTTTATAGGTGACAGGAAATACGTAGAAGGGAGAAGCCTAAGGATAAGAAAAAGAGGGAGAGACAGAGAGAAAGGGAGAGTATGACTGTAGGAGCTATCCACTGTAGGAGATAGGCTCAAGAATCCATGCCGAGGGTTTGGCCTTGGATCAGACTGCCTCTTTATCAGAGACTGCAGCAAAGAAGGAGAGAATGGGACCATCTAATGTTATTCCTTTCCTTACCTTCTTTTGGATTCTTGAGTAAATTCATTTCTCTAGTTCAGTGGTTCTCAAAGTGTGATCTAGGGATTACTTGGGTCCCTGAGACTCTTTCTTGGGGGTCCTAGATACCATAATTGTTTTCATAATAATACTAGGAAATTTTAGTTTTGAATATGGTAAATATCAATATATATAACCCAAATAAACAAAAGCACTTGGGGATGTAAATAATTTTTAAGAGTGTAAAAGGTTTCTGAATAAAATGTTTGAGATTTGCTGCTCTAGTAATAGTCAACTCACCAATAATACTTTTTAAAAATACTGTTGGTTCCAGATTGCATGCTGTCTTGGGGAGGGGGAGGGGCAAGGAGAGGGGAAAATTTACAACTTAAAATCTAATAAAAGTGAATGTTGAAAATAAAAAATTAATTAATAAAAAAATAAAAAAAGAAAGTAATGAAAAAATTTTAAAAACCCCATAGATCCAGATTTCTGGGCAGCCAGTTTATGACTGAGCCACTGCCTATGTTTGCCTATGAAACTTAAGGGTTGGGGACTCACATGCCTACATGTGTCTCAATAATAAACTGCTTGGCTTGCCAAAGACAAAATACACAAAATGCAGAGGTTTACTGTTCACATAGTCTACCACCAAGGAATTCCCTTGCAAAGGACGTAGCCACCTTATGGCATTACTTGATCCTTTGATCTGGACCCTGGCTTGCAATCCTTTGGGTGTTAATGGTGGGTGGTTTTCTCAGCTCAGAGTAGACTTGTTATGGTGGCTTGGTTCCAGTCATGTTTAGATCATCAAGGACTATTGAGATGAGTCACCTAGGCAGCCTTAGACAACCAGCACTGGGGTGCCATTTACAGAGTTTTACAAAGTCTCTCTGATGCTGACAGGGAACCAGGAGGTCAATTAGCCTACTGCTAGAGGCAGCACTTCATGTAAGGACAATATTAAAGAACAAATTCAATTAGTCAATCAACAAGTATTTGTTAGTTGTCTACAATGTGTCAGGCATTCTTTTGGGCACTTCAAATTCAAATTCAAGACAATTAATAAAACAATCTTAACTTTCTAGAAGTGTAAATTTGCCTCTAGGAGAGGCAACAAGTACATATATAAATACATACAGCATAAGTTCAAAGAATAAATAAAAAATTAAATATCATATAGTTCAAAAGAGGGTAATAGCATTTGAGAGTATTAGGAAAGATTTAATGTAGGTGGTTTTTGATCTATGTCTTAAAGGAAAAGAAGAATTCTTTGAGGTGGAGATGAAAAGAGAATAAATTCTAGATATGGGAGATAGTGTGACAATTAAGAAGGTCCTAAAGACATACTTTCTGGGTAATTTAGTCATTTTATTAATAAGCCCAACATGTTTATTAATAGAAGGAGGGTCATTTGGCCATCTCTCTTAGACCAAAGACCTCTTATGGTGGTAGGTTCACAATTTATATGCTCTTTGAAGAGTTAGTGTTCCCGAGGGGTGACAGTCAACTCTGATTGTTAATAATTGATGAGAAAATGAATATTACAATGAAAGGATGGGCTCGATTACAGTGAGGGTCTTGGGGTATGTGACTTGGGTCACCCAAATCTTGGTCACAGAGACTTATCAATTTCCCTATCACCTGTCTTGACAAAAGTGAGAATCAACACTTCCCCAA